GTCAAGAGATTCTTCACACTGAGTAGATCAAGACCAGAGGCCTACGAAGCATTCCTTGTTCCACAATTCCAGACCGTCCACCGATCTTCTACACCCAGAAGTCAGTTGCACCACACTGTGTGAGGAACTGCCCAAATTCATGGGTGTTTGGTACGTGGCTTGGCACGAAGATGCATGACTGCATGACTGTGCTTCGGCGGGTCTACTGTCACGAAACAGCCAAACAAACGCATCTGGTCCTTCCGCATGCTGATTTTTTTTACGCTTTCGTTTGTTTCCGCCGTTTTGCCTCCCTGGTCCTCTTTCGTTCGTTCCTTCGTTCGGTCCCTCTGGTTCGTCCTCGAGGTGATCGCCAACATCCCTACCTTCTTCGACCAGGGGACGAGCAACAATATCGAGACCTACAGCTTGGACGAGACAGGACGAAGCGCGGAACCGGCCGGAACTGGCCGGAGGGGACCCGAGCAACCGGTTTCTTTCAACCGGTACATCTCTGGGGACGGTTTGGCCGGTTGGAAGAAGCGGACATTCGGGGATGCTGACGCTGATGCTGGGGGCGCATGGTTGGATCTTCTTCGTAGGGCACAGGCGGTGGTTTTGTATCCCAAGATGGTTGGGTAAACTGGGCTAGTTGATGGATGTTGATGGGTTGAACATGCTTTACTAGGCCCCGGTGGTGCCCCGAACTGGGGCCTCACCTTGTTGAGCCAGCCGAGACATCTTCCGCCGTGTGAAGTTTTTCAGGAAAGAACGTCCTGGTCGACTTCACCTATCAACAGGACGTGGGCGGGAAGTCCAGAACTGGTCAACTTGTTCTTATTGAACTGACAACCGTTACATAAGAAAAGACTGTAAGTAAGAATAATTGAAACATCAACTCCTTTTTTTTCGTGTGTGTTTTTCCCTTTCTCGTGGATTCCACCGCAAACATGCTCAGGGTTCCTCTAGCAAGCTCTTGCAGCAGCGGGCTGAGGCCTTTGGTGTTGGGCAAGAGGAATTCCACCTTTCGTGACAGGGGACCTTGTGCTACCGCTGCTACCCTGGGCTTACCACTGCTACCTGTGGTTTACTACACGTCTCTCTTGGCCAGAAGGGGGCTCTTTTTCGAAAAAGGAGTCTGAGGTTTTATCGCTGACGATCGTTTGGTGAGAGTTTCAAGATGCAAAATGATGATTGCAATCTTAAACCAAACTATGATGATTGCAGTCTGAGAGTTTGACCCAATTCATTCTGCATTCCTTGGAGTCTTGGAGCCCTATTTTTTTCCGACCAGTGTTTAGTTATCTGAGATGAAGTTGCATCTCCATGTCGCCTCACCGAAGTGTGCCAGGTGGTCAATGACGCTTGTACACAGTGGGCGATCTCACCAAAGATAGGTGCGGACAGTGGGCGCCCATTCTTGGAGTTGAAGGTCTTGGGTGTACAATTCCACTCTCGACGTACGAGCACATAGTGCTCTAGATTTGGCCAGGTGTGAATGTTCGAAGATCTCCCTTGACGAGTTTAATTCATAATGTCTAATGTCCCTACACTGCTTGTGATAGATGCCTGGACGATCTTGTTGGAGTTTGGATTGACAGTTTCCCAGCCGAGCAGCAAGATGGTGTTTGGAGGTGTATTCATTCCCTTGCGGCTCTCCTACTTGATCGTGGATTGCGCAGAGGCAAGGGTCGCACATCCTGTTGACTAGACTAGATGGAGAGTATCTCTGAAATTAAGCCTTGAATGAAGTCTTCCAGTTTCTTGTAAATCAAAGCTACATTTGAGAATCAGCTAGCTGGACTCAGTTTCTGCTTGCACCATTGAGACACTCGAGCCCTTCTGCCTTTTGAGCACTCCACTCTGCTCTTTCAGGACTACTCGACCTGCATCATTGGTGTGCCGGACCGCAGATATCTCTGGATCATGGCACGCACCCCTACAATCGAAGAGAAAACCCTTGAAGCATTGATCAGCAAGAGCCGAAGATTAGGCAGCTCGGTGGCAAACCAGTTTTGTTGTTTGTTTTCTTTCCAATTCTTCTGGAGTGGAGGAGTTTGCTGTCTTCATGTAGGGAAGCTCGCAGGGCCTGGGGGATTTAAGAAGATACCGTACGCAGTACCGTGAATTGAAACACTTGTTTTGTTGCGTTTGTGCGTTTGCTAGCTCCAGGCTTGTTGATTCCAGGTTGCACCAACTTTCTGTAGAAGTCTGCGGCCATGGGGTTCTTGCCAACATCAAATTGGCAAGCCACGTTTGGTTGTTATGGTTCAGTGCTTCAGTCTTCCTACTGATGGAAAGGCTTCGACGAGAAAGCAATCGTGAGAGTGCCCCAGGGCCAATAACTCAGTGCCTGTGCCCCAGAAGCTTCTGGTGGTCAGCTGATGAAGACCAGCATATCTTGAGAGAGTGTCCAAGTTGATGAATTGAGGACCTAAACATGCTTTGTGGAATAGGGGGCTCCCCTACGCTATAATCGATATGATAAAGCTCAAGAGTTTGGCCATCACAGAGAACGTTGTGCTTCCTTTTCATAAGCTTCCTCCGCCTGTCTGGCCTGTCTCTGCTGCTGAGGCTTGGATGGGTACCCAACCTTTTTTTGGCTAATGCGCTAGACATCTAAGAATGGATATGGCTCGGTCCCAATATGGGGCGGTGCTTTTCACCTCTCGCAGTTGGGCCGTGCTTCGGAGCTGAGATTTGGGAGATCATTGAAGTAGAAGGTGTGTGTTTTTGGAAGGACAGCCCAACCGTGATGAGCTCTTTGAGCTGGTCGATCTGGCCTGGACTCGCCAACAAGGGGGTCCCATTACAGAGCATCCCTCTTCTTTTGGCGTGCATTTTGCTTCCTATCCTGGCTGTGCTTGATAGCCAGAATGGCCGATTTTCGCGCATTTCACTGGTATTTAGCGCCCAGGGAGCTTCAACAGAAGCAGCCACCTCTGACCAGAGATGCCAGAGGACTGAAAGCAGTGCCGAACGGCAAAACCTTCGTAGTGCTTTGAGAATCTCGGAAGATGGTCACCCAAGGCGTTCAACGAAGAAACTCCCCCAAACCGCTTCGATACGGACCGAAGGCGTTGCTCGCGCTGGTCCAGAGCGGTGAGCCGCCCACTCAGATCAGCATGAACACCACCTGCTGAAATCATATATACTGTAATCATTTAGATGATTTAATCTTAGTACTTTCATACACTCTACAATTGTGGCTCCTGCCAGGTTGTCTTGTATTAATTGTTGGTCCAGTGCGCTTTATCGGCTTGCCAACCCCGCCTCAATCTGCGTTTTTGCCCACCCCTTCTTTTGAGGTTCAGAGACTTTGAATTCAATGCCGAAGTCTACTCGTGAAGCTGGCCTCGTTATATGTCAGACAGCTAAATCACCACGGAAACTTGCTAAACACACACACACACACAACATACATGTTGGAAAATCAACGCGGCACGGGCTTCTGTGGACTTTGCAGGGGCCTTTTTCAGCTCTTGTCTCTGGCATGCTCTTGGCGGACTGCCGAGCTTGACCCTTGACAACTTGCACTGATGAAGAAACGTGTTTATTCACCAAGCTTTCAGAAAGTGCTATTGACTGCTTGATGGCTTGAAGGGCAGCGGACATGCTAATCACGGATCAGTCTTATATCGCCACCATGCGTCGAGGTCGGTCTCGCGGGTCGGATCTGTCCTTTCATCGTCCTTTCTCGTGGGCCGTCCATCATTGTCACAGGGCTTCAAACAGTTCAATGCCATTGTTAGTACATGCCACCTCAACAACACGCCAAACTTCCAGGTGCTCAGACGGACCAGCCGGTCATTTGCACATTGTCATGTCATCCTGAGGTCTCAGCCATTCGTAGTGAAGGTCCAGCAGATCTTTTGGTGTCCACCTTAGCCGAAGAGAATCGGCCAGCTCAGCTCAAGATGGCTCAGAAGTACTGCACCCTAATGCAAGCTTGGTTCATTTGGAAAGAGAGACAAGAATTTCAACAGCTGAATATACCACCGCACTCAATCGGTGATTTCTATCTTGTTCCTATTTTTTTCCGAGCCATCCGGCAGTCGTCTAGGCTGAAGTTTGATATTTGCGAAGGAAGTGAGGGATGAAGGGCATGGGGGGGAGATACAAGACAGGAAAAGTTGGTGGAGCTACATGGGTCAAACGGTGGCCAAATTGTTTGTTTTTGGGTGTTTGTGGAGAGTTGATGATGCTGATGCAAATCATCGTTGTTGATCGAGTGATGTTGGTGATGCTGGATGTTGGTGAAAAGTTTGGCATTTTATGACGAAGGAGCAAATGAACGGATAAGCGGATGGAAGGATGTATGGATGGATGGATAGACGGTGGGAGGGGTGAATGGATGTAGGCATTTGGTGGAATTGTGTGATCATGATGTCTGGCATGCTCTGTTTGGCGTTTGCACGCAAAGTATCCCTTTCCCAGTGAGCAGATGGAGGTCTATAAGTCTATGCGGCTCCATCCAAGTTTCAGCCTGTGAATCTCTATGCGCGATTTTTTCTCTTTGGCGTTTGCATGCGGCATATTCCAGTTGGAATGCATACATGTCTGTAATGTGTTGGCTTTCGCACAAGCCTTCTCAGGTCTGCTCTGTCTGTTTCTGCCTGCTTCTCTGTCTACTTCTCTGTGTGTTTCTTCTGCCTCTCGTCCATCTACTTCTGTTGCCGTATCTTCATGTCTGCCAATTCTTCCAAGACAACTTTCAATACTCAAAGGTATTCGTCCCTGTCCAGGAGTTCTTTTCTTGGGTTTTCAAAACGCTTAACACACACGGTTTTCGGTTCGTTTGCGCAGCCGAAACTCGGAACTCGACACTCAGCTCGATCCAGGGCCATGGTCCGTGCTCCGGAATTTGACATCGCCGAAGCTGAGGAGCAGGCGCATCTGTGATTTTCTTCCCCAAGCTCTGTGAATGTGTGATCTTGTCTTAAAGCAGCATTTCAAATGCTCTCCAACTTCAGTTTTGGAATGGACCAAGTACTTTACATGATTGCTTAGCCAAGCGGAACATGGACCGATCAACAAGCAGAATCTGGCAGTTGGGTGAACTCTTATGGAGCCTTTCTGGTCGGCTGGATGGCAGTGCCCAGCAGGTGCGGAGTTCTTCTTGGAATTGATGGAATTCTTTGCAGCCAAGTGTTTGTCAATTATGGATTTGATGTTCTCAATCAGCGATTGTCAAGTTGGAGCATCTTCCAGGATCTTGAAGTCACCAGAGTGAGAGAAAACAGGCGAAGTCGACCCCCGCGATTCATGGGATGCCGTGTCTCACCCAGGCTGAGTGGCCGTTCCTACGCGACATCCTGTTGTGGCTCTATGAGAAGTTCCCCACCCGCAGAGCTCAGCTTCGAGGTGTCATTGGCAGGCAGAGGGAGCGGCATGGGGGAGGGAAGAAACAATGTGATTATATATAGAAACCATTTTTTCCCTTCAAAGCGCCAAGCCCCTTAGTTCCTAGCACTACGGAGATGGAGCCATGCTCTTAGCGGATTCAGCAGCTGTACCAATTATATACAATGAAGTCAAATATATACAATACAGTTGACAAATGCGTGAAATGAGTCAAGACCAGAGTTGTGTGGAAGTCTGTTCAGATTCACCCCCGACCAGATGCGATTTGTTTCACGCATTGATCGCTCGGTGCCTAAGCGGCTTCCAAAACAGCACCACGTTGACCGCCCTGAGTTCACCATGGTGCGTAGAAGCGAATCCTCGTGTTGCACGTGCAGCGTAGAAGCGGTCAGTCTTTGGGTGCAGTCAGTCAAACAGTGTTCCAATCACCCATCATCTCGTGCCTCCAATTGCTTTCATGCCAGGCCCCTAAAGTCTGCTGGCCGCTTTGTGCACAAGTCAGCGCCCTTGGCACCACTACTGCAGGTGGGAAGGAAGGGACACCTTGAAGATGCTTGGGTGCTTAAGAGGCAAGTGCTTAGGATCTGTACAGTTCAGAGGAAGCATCGACACATTTGAATGAACTTGATTTCTTCTTGCTCCTGTTTCTCCCAGGATTTCCGACTATACAGATCGTTCAGGTCACGTTCGGACTCCACGTCCACAGGGCAGCTTTCTGATGGTCCCTCCTTAAAATCCGATGATTCCAATCCCCAGTCCTTCGCTTTTGGCAACCTGGCAGGTCTTGGGGCCAATCATTAGAGGCTTCCAGACGCCCTTGGGGGGAGGCTTGGCTTGCCGCGACAAGTTGAGGTCCTATCCGGGTGTCCTATTTGTAACTGTTTCGACACTTTCTACATCTTTCTTTGAGGCACAAAGACGACTCCTCACCGACACCCTCTTACCACTGCTGGGAGCTCAGACCGATTGGTGTCTCTACTCCTGCGATGCCAACGATGGAAAAGTGAGATGGCCAGGCACAAGCCCAACGATTGGCTTCTCTGGGACAGGCAAACGCCCCTGATCTCCATGTATCACAAGGACGGTGGAGGGTCAGCGCTTGTTAGGTATCACTACAAACACAAAAAAACAAACAAAGAAAGAACCTATAAGCAATGGCCTCCAACGTAATAGCGATGGCCTCCAACCTAGAAGCGATGGCCTGAGGGATCTTTGAGATGGCTTTCACCTCAAATATCTCAAACGAGACTAATGGTGTTTGGAGGTCTCAGGTTGAGAGGCAGCCATACGATATGACCACTTAAGGATTCCATACCTTCAAGAGCCGTGCTCAATCTTTGGCCTGAGGAGCTGGTGCACTGCATGTGTGGAGCCTAGCCCAGACATGGAGTTAGGGCCGTATTTGCCGTATTTGGGTAACTTGAAACGAAGCTGAACCCAGTCTCAGCAGGGCAAAAGCGCATCTCCAGATTCCTTTCGCCAGTCAACTGCCATTCCATTGCTGTGCTGAGGCTGTTGGTTTTAGAGAAGGAACCCAGGCTCAGTGGCAGGTCGGTGGAGGCTTGCCGCATGAGTGACTCTGACACCACTCACGCATGAGCTGGGTTACGAGGGACAAGTGACGAAGCGTTGGCAGAGTACGTTATTGGAGGTACCATTGGCCACCGAATGCATTTGAGCTCCAGTAGGTTCGTGGTTGGCTTGGAAGTTTGCATTTAGCTTCTTTTGTAGTGAAGCAGGGCGACCAGGGTCTTCTTTCCAAAACGCTTCAAACATCCCCAGGACGCATGAATGTCCTATATCCTGACTTTCGGGTTGCGACAGAGGCTCTTTGTGGCTATCTTCCACAGTCTCACGAGCCCCTTGGTCTGATTGGCCTGCAGGCTAGACTGGGGCCCGAGTGCAGGCCCAGCTCCAGAGCTGGTCCCGAGACCGAAGAAACCTCGTGAACAACTGGGGTCCCCGGTCCGCGGTTAAAGTCAAGAACCGTGCGGAAGTTTGAAATAGTTTGACCACGACGTCGCGAGGTCGAATACTCCCAAAGAGGTCCTGGTGATTCACGAGCTGGCTGAAATCATGAAGGTCAGGAGTGTCAGGAGAGCTCGGTTGCTTGGTCTTGGTCAGGGGTGCCGAGGAATTCAGAGCTGGAGAGAGATTTCTCGCTCTAGGCGTCACCCTGAGTCGAAGTCGGCTGTTTCCAAAAAAGGGATCAGTCGCAAGCCTGTCACATTGGGTACCTAAGAATTCTACGAGCCCTGAAGATGAGCAGGTCATGCAGCCGGAAGACCTCAAGGGTTGCATGCAGGGGAGCCAAGAACGAGTGGACGAGTCCATGAGAATTTCTTCCAGAACGAGCTTTCGTCCAAGGTTTGACTTGACCCAGAATTCGAACTCATTTGAAAGTTCCTTTTCTTTTTGCGAGTAGAACCCCAACCAAGCCGGGGTCGGAGGTTCAAAAGATTCATATGTTCATAAAACACCTGACGCGACCAAAAGACCAACAAGCGCCCTGTGCAACCAACAGCTGTCCGCGTAACACCAAGCGTGATTGATACCACCAGGGACATGCCGCATTTACACAGCCAAAGCCCAACGCACAACCACCATCGAGTCCAGACCTGGCCAAACCTCATGGCACAGCGAGGTCACCCACTGATTTTGCCACACCGTATGCCACGAGGCAATGAAGACACTTGCTCTACAAAGTTGCCACTGCTGAGCCCGCAGCTCCCAGAAGCTACTTTGGATTACAAAAGTGCCCAGTTTAGAAGCTGCTCCGCTACAAACTTGCCAGTCCTCACCGCTAGTTCCCAGAAGCTACTGCAGGTACTACACCTGTACCACAAAGTGGCCACTTCTCAGCTGCGCGTATTACCTGTGTACAACAAGGTGGCCATTTCTGAGTCGCTGCCTCTCCTCGTTGCCAGTTCTGATCCGCCTTTGGAAACACACAATAGACAAAATGGACACCTTTTTGTGCACCGGTTAACTTTCAAACATGCATTTTGTGCGAGACTCCTCAAATCTTGAAAACTAGAAGCTCCAGTGTGAGCAATCTGTTCCTGTGCTATTCTTACTGTCACTTGCATTACTGTTCCTGCGCGACTCTTACTTGCGTTGCTATTTCTTACAGTGCTGGCACCGTGGTGTCTACATTACTGTTGCTTACGGTAGTGTTGCTGTGCTGCTTACTGCGCCTTATGCTGCTACTGTTACTATCTGGTGCCTCCTTTCTATATTCTAGTTGTTCGTAACATGGAAGTTTCTCGACATAGCCTCCCTTTAACTAGGCGTGCTTCAGGGCCGCAGTTGGACAATCCCACGTCTACTTCTTTGTTGAATCCTCATCAATCTTGCCACCGGCAAATGAGGCCTTCGCTTGTGCGGCCAGGGGTCTCAGAATGAAATGCCTAGAGTGGAGCAAAAGGGAACTGACTTGTTTGAAACAGGACACAAGGATCGTTTTGTGGACACTGAACCTATGCTGATTGGCATCCACTCTTGAATCGTTTTAGTTCATCATCACGAGCCTGAGCCTTCGGGACCATTTGGGTTACTCAAAGATCGGGCCATGCTTCAACATGACCTGAGGAATTGAGTAGAACTCAAGCATTGCGTGCATGTAACCTGCATTTTGCCTGACTTGGTACCCTCTTGGACACCCCGGCATCAACTGTAGGTCTGGAAATTCTCATGTGCCGAATGGCCCAGAATGCACATCAAAGGCACATGGTCCGTCTCTTCACCTCCCAGAATGCCCAGACCTTACAGTCGGTGCTGCAGCTCTGGAAGGACGGAGAAGACCTGGTGGAAGGATGTTGAAGTACATGGGCCCTTCATTTTTTGGTGACTGTTCGCAACAAGAGTAAACCGTACCCGAGGTTTAAATCTACCTGGTTCATTGTGGTTCCGTGCCAAACATTGGTCCTTGGGCTTGTGCCGTCAGACCAACAAGTTCCTTTTCAGCAAAACACCAACAAGTCCCTGCAGACTGGAGTCAGTAAGGCCACCCATTCGATCTTTTGGAATCTGCGGGCTACGAGGGCACTTGTGAAGACCTCTGGAAACCTCTACAAGAGCTGTTCGGGAGCAGGAGTTCAATGTTTTTGCGGACTCCTGGCTTTTGTGTCCATACCCGACTGAAGGATCTTGCGAATGACACAAAAACAACGTGTCTCCGCTACACGGACCGACTCGCAGCGCTCTCGAGGACGAGCGAGTCGCCGAGCTGCTCAGCCACTTCGCAGATCAGCTGGCGCGCTCCCGCAGCGTTTCCGCCGGTCGCCGGTCGCATGTCCCGTGCCTGCGATGTCGCTCGCTGGCAGATACCGAACCTGATGCCGATGCTGTTGAGAGACGGCGAGCTGTTTTGGAATCCCACCGCCCGGGCTGCTCAGATGCGATCGGAGAAATGGAGGAGCCCTCGCAGCGGAATGAAATGGGACGTCCCAACAGAAGTTGTGCCCCATGATAGGCAGAGAAAATGATGCGAGATAGGGAGAGACTGGAAACGGGAGCTGCAATGTTGTCCTGCAGTTTCAAACTCTAACGGCTCACTCAGCTAACTTCTTCAGGTGAACAAGATGACCTCTTTGGTCCTAGAGAAGCTGGAGCAGGCTGATCCAGAGGTCCTGCCGTCCTACCCATGCGGATTGTGTGACGGTGTACTTTTGCTCCGCTGGTGTTTAGCCGTTTTTTAAAGCTGGTCAGACCTCAAGAACCTTTGCTTTCGCCCTGGCAGCAAGCACACACACACACACACGAATGCTTTGGTTGACTTTGCATCTACTTTCCCGAGCTCTTGCGCACAGCATTCACAGCAGATGCAAGTCGTTTGCCAAGAAATTTTCTCGGTCAATTGACGATGCTCGCTGGCCGCCTTTGAACTGGGAAGACACATTTAGCTTTAGCATGCTTTAGCCTTGGTCCCGACAAGATGGATTGGTAGCAACCGAACAAAAAAGTCCAAGAGCCAAATTATGACGGGCTTGAAGAAAGCTTTCTTCCTGGTAGTAGCTTTTCGGGTAGTCAAGGTCCTAAAAGTGACCTTCAAGGGATCTCAACGCGTGGGCCATGGATGAGGCAGCTGACTCAGGTGGGGAGGGAAACACCGAAACACCTGACCTGTCCTCCCCATTGTGAAGAGGACAAACAACAAACACATACAAGAACATCCCAAGGGGTTAACTGTTTAGCAGTTCTTTCAGGCTGTCTTTAGGCCTCATACTATGATGTGCCCTTGTTGATGCGAAATGGTCAAACTCCGAGGTCTGGGGCTGACTTTATAGTGTCTTTCATGGACTGTAAAAGCTGTAGATAACTTGGCGAGGCCTTGCTTATTTACTTCAGCAGCGGTGAAGTCGGGGATCCTGAAGCGACTCCAACAACCCGGCCACTGGATTTGCAGCCTGAACACACAGCTAAATCCTAGACATGGCCAAGAAACAGACGCAATGTGGAAGCGACCCGTGGATTCAGACGGGTTTCCCAAATGAGTGGTGCAAGCGCTTCTTCAAGGAAGCTTCCCGCAGAGCTTCCTGGAAGAAGCGTGAGCTATCCTGCGTGCAAGAGGAGTAGCTACCTCTAGGAGTAGCTTACTTGTTAGCTACAAGCTACCTAGCTACTACTAGCTACCTCTGTAGCTACTACCTCTTCTACTCGGCCCACCCCCTCCGGGCAAAAAAGATGTTTTCTGGCTGTGCTTCGTCTTGAGAATCCTCGTGGCCATTTCTTCCCAAGTGCAGCACAGAGCCTTGGCACTGGCGTGAACAAGCGTCAGCGCCGGCGCCGGTGCAGAGAGAACATCCGGGCAATCCTCTCAAGTTGCTGAGTGTGTCTCTGATCTAACCACGTAGCGTGTCTCTCTTGGTGGCAAGCCTTTTGCAAACCTTTTTGGACAAGCCTGCTTACCCCACTATACTGACCTATGCTTAGTGGTGTTTGAGCCTTGCTTATTTGCGCTTACCGGGCTTACCGGGTTACCTTCAAACATGAACTCCTAAAAGATAGGTTGGCTCAGTTGGCTCATGTTGGCTCCAGAAGTGGGGCTCTTCGTTCACAAAAGTAGCTTCTCCGGCCATGAACTTGGGATCCCTACTGCTCCACCGGCTGACTCAACTCACCCCGACTCACCCCTACCCCTTCGGTCTCAGTGAGTTGGATTTGGTTTTGGCCAGTTGGCTTGTTGGTTGACACAAAGACCGATTCGTTTTCTGGGAGGAAAAGTCCTGAACACCATCGCAAGCTATCTGTTCTTGGGCCCTGGTTCACCCGTCGCTCCGGTTGGGTTGCTCGCCATGGATCGGCTGGCGGCCACCGCGGCGGTGGAGAAGCTGCGAGGCTGCGCGCTCCGCGCGATACGGTGTCGCACCAAGACTGCCCAACTCCATCAACAGGTCGTTTCTTGAGGACGAACTTCTTTTGCCAAGAAATCCTTGTTTATTCATCATTGACCTCCAAACACTGCGGAGACAAGCAAGATCACCAGAAGCTTTGGAAGTCTTCTTCCTTTCATTGAGAGTCTTTTCATCTTTTGGAGAGCAGTGTTTCAGCAGTCATCATGATTGACCTCCTCAGCAACATGCGGTGCTCGGTGAGCTGAGACTCAGGGCTGCTTATGGTGCCATTTACTTGTTCTTAGGGGTGCTTGTGGGTTGGTAGATAAAGAGTTTGGACTCTAGAGTCAGCTTTTTGAAGGCTCTCATGGGACAAGCCCGGCCCGGATCCACTGTGCAGACTCCACATCCCAATCCACTGGTCGGAGCGACAGTTTGCATCTGCCAGGTCAACACCGACCAATCACGATGAGCATGCCAACTGCTCCACAGAATGGCATCCCTGCGAATCGCATGAGTGCCTTGGAACTCGTGGGATGCGAAGGGATCAGAGGGAATTCTGGGTTAGAATTGACAAGTCCCGCCGAAAGTAGGACAACAAGGCCTTGAGTGGTGGAATTTGCATTTTTGGTTTGAATGGTCGGGCTTACCCTTGCGGGAGGAACAGAATGGACAAATCCTTGATGAAAGAGGATCCAAAAAGTTGAAACGGTCATGGAACCCGGTGCGCGCAGGGGCCACTTCACCACAAAGATGAGCAAGACCCAAACAGCCAAAGTAGGATTTCCAAATGCCATGCAGCCCGCATAGCACATCCACATGGCAAGGCCCTTATGCGGCTGCGCCGGGCTGCTACATGCTGGCGCCCGGCAGTATCGCAGTGGAGCCCTGGTCGCACAAGCCCAACCTCATGCAGCGGAACGAAGCGGAGCCTGGGAGCCCTGGTCCAGATGTCTGGATTTTCTGCAGAGATCGGAAGACTCGTGTTGAGTGAAAAGGCCAAACCCGAAAAAGAGACCCGGTGATTGAAGTTTGAAGTTTGTAGAGTCTATTTGTTCATCTGATTGGGCCTTTGAGGCGTGTTCGCAAGCGTGAGGAGGCGGGGTCTGATGAGCTGAGAGGATGGGGACTGACATTAAGTGTCGGCCAAAAAGAATTGAGAGCGGCTGAAGGACAGAACGATATTTTCAGTTTGAAGGGATGTTTATGCTTGCTGAACCCTTCATTCTGTTCACCGAGTGCTTTGATTGGAGGGTTCCATACCGGACTCATTCTCTGTCAGGTGAGACCAATTTGTCCCCTTCCGTGCAGTCCCTAAAGTTCTCTTGTTAAACTGATTAAACATACTTTTTCAAACCAAAATGAGGAAGAGGTAGCACCAAGAAGCTACTAGTAGCAAGAGGCATCGCTACGAACGGAGCGATCGGACGCTACGAACGGGGCGCTCCTACTAGGATCAAGGACGCTACTAGGAACAAAGGGCATCGCTACGAACGGAGCGATCGGACGCTACGAACGGGGCGCTCCTGGCCTTACTACTAGGTTAGGAACAAGGACACTATGAAAAGCAAAGAGAGGACCAAGAATCGTTGTGCCAGGCCTTCCAAGCGCGGCGCCTGGCAGCTTTGCAGGCCAAGAAGGAGGCGGAGCTGGAGAAGAGCCTCAAGGAGCGGCAAGAGGCGGATGCATGGGGAGCCGGTGAAGTGATGGGTAGATGCAGACAGCGGAGGTGGTGATATTCATTTGCTATTGGCTTTGCAAAGCACTCTTGTTGAAAAGCTTATATAAGACTTCTGCAGGGCCATTCATTCCCTTGAACAGTTGTGCCCCTCCAACATACAGTTCAATGCAGTGATTGATCATATCGAGAGCTTTCAAGACCGAGTTGAGGTCCTTGCTGCCTTGAAGAAGAAGCCGACCCTCACAGAGAAGGAACCTCAGTCGCCTCAAGAAGAGCCGCAAGAGCCAACGGAGGCTGGAGTAGAGTAGTACGGACTGGTGACTCAGGGGTGGTCAAGTGCATTCCTTCTCCTCAAGATCACTTAATTTCTTAACAATGTCAAGTGCATCAATGTCAAGAGATTCCTTAAGTGGAAGCTTATTTCTTTGACATTGATGAAAGCAGTTGGTGGTACCAGTGATCGTCTTGCTGATCGTCAGGCTGCTTCACGAAGTGTCGAGCCCCCCCAGCCTTCAGAGTTCAACCTTCCCAACAGACAGTAGATGAAGGGTAAGATGTGTGAATTACGATGTCAAAAATATATTTCTCTCTATATGAATGAATTTCAAGCTGAGAGGTTTTGGGTTCTAAGAAGTTGGTTGATTCGCCTCAGTTTGGGCATACACACCGATGTCTTCTTCATGATTGCTCTTGGTTCCCCAATTGGGGATCATGCACACCAACCAAGGAGCCTGAGCCGAGGGAGAAGCTATGCCTGCATGAAGTTCAAGCGCTCAGCGTTTGAAGACTCAGTTTCGATGTGCTGT